AATAGTTCTGTGTTGACTATGGTCTCGATCTCTCCTATGAATTAGAAGCTTTCCCAATTGAATGAATGGAGACTAAGATAGTGTAACCCATTTTTATATTGGTCTTCTTTCGTTATCTTCAAGTGATTTGACCTTTTTTCGCAACATGATCGTGTTATCAGAGCGACCTATGCGAAGCATCTTGTCCAGGGTCATCCACCATATTATTTATGATAATTTCCAGCGCTACAACTCTTTACAGAAACAAGTTATGTTTATATCCTGTCCAACTCTCTCTCTCTTTCCTATTTCGTTATATTCCCTTTTCCTATACCATTATATTACTCCTTCAGGTGGGCTTCTTTGAGCATATTTATTGAGGCCTATTCACACACACCACTGTACATGAAATATGTATCAGATTTGGCGCTCATCTATGCTTTATCAGGTTCTCCTTCCTACCTTGTAAAATTTGTCTCATCTCTCCGATTCAATAGTTTTAATCCATCACTGCTGCACCTGCTGCTAGTCCAGCAACTTTTTTCCATGATCTGCCTCGCGTTTGCTGGCACGTTTATTGTAGTCTTACCTTTTCAAAATATTTAATCATCAGTTTATTATATATTATCTACTGTCTTCGTATATTACTTGTCTTCCTCATCACTATTATTATTGAGCTATTGAATTTGGATACATGCTTCTCTTTGAAAATCTCATATCTTTACTCATCTGAAATTCTGGCACTAACTGATATTTTATTGCTTCAATTTCTTTTAAGGATGCCTCATTACATTCTATAATGAGCTCAAATCTAGACAAGAAATTCTTTTGGAAAGTAAAACGATGCCTGACAATTTTACATGGTTAGGCCTCGTTTATTAGTGAGTAGCTAAATTGCCAAGCTATGGATAAATAGCCGTCGGCCTATTCCTCTAGATAATTTCATTACTATTTCACTAGTTCCCTTTTATTTTGTGTCTTGGTCAGACAATGGATTTATTTTTTAACAAAAACCTATGTTTTTAAATGTTCGGAGTATTCTTCTGCTTAGTACTAAGAAATATATTAACGAGATGTTGTTTGGGGACAACTACCCAGTAGAGACTTAGTCTACATTTGAGATTAGTTCAATTCAACTAGGAATGCAAATAGAAGACTGATAAAATTCGCTTTACCGAGATGCCTATTACATAAAAATAGTTTATTATATGAAGATAATGGCCGTGACTGCAGCTTATAAATGTAATAGGATCGCATTCTTGTATTCCAGGTGATTAATGCCTAACATAATTTGATGGTGATCCATTGACGATTTATCAATCCTAATCTAAAATAATTTGAATGAAACCTTTTCGAATAACCTAACGCACACTGATTTACATTTAATATATTATAATTTAACACATCTTACTTAATCAGATATTTATTTGGATCCATGTGTATATTATAATCCAACTCATTTTGTTGGAGTTTTTTATGCCGCTCTTCATTTACCTTATTTTTACTTTATAGAATATGATTATGATTACATTGAGTATTATTTATTTGCATGAGTTAATTGTGTAAGCTACTTAGCTTTCGAAATGGGAGAAATTTTTTTAAATATCATCATATATGGAATATATGTTTTGCTTGATTGATTGTGTAAATTAATCTTTGTATTCATCCTTTAAATAGTTCCTAAATTTATTTATACCTCTTTCGACGGTATCTACTTTAAATTTCGAATTTAAATATTAAAGCAACATCCAAAACTGGTTATCATTATTCTCGTTATGAGGATATTACATGTGCCAATGCAAGACAAAGACATATTTACCTCTTATTCTAATGATAATATTTCCAACTATTGATCTTTCTAATGATAAAGTTTCAATTATTACCATATTTTTTCTCGTTTAAAAAAAAGAATTAGAATGCATGGCATTCGCCTCCTTGCAACTACATCAAGTGGCGCAGTAAAGCTAGAGACGCGTGAAATTGACCTTGATCTGACGAATCGGGTGATTTTCCATAACCACAATCAACTCAATATAATGTCTGCTTCTCATTCTCAACCCAACCAAATGCATTCCAGTAATGGAAATACTCGTCTACAGCAGCTGTCCTCTTCAGCGATTCCTAATGAGATTAATTTTCGTAAAACTTGTCATCGTTCTGATACGACCACTATAACCTCCAGAGCTTCCCTGAACCAGCGACATAATTATGGTTTTTTACATCGTCCGACAAACCTTAAATTGTCTAGCTTCTTGCCTGATGAGCAGGAAGCCTTTAGGCTGCAAGGACTTGCATCAGAACATTCTACTTCAGATTGTGTAGAAGAACGACCATTAGCACCCCAACCTAGTAGGTGATTTATGGTTTTACTCTTGTTTTAGTTATTATTTTAATTTTGAATACTAAAATGGGTTTGTTTCACGATTTATTGGACCATCGTATCATCCCTTATTTATTTTTTTTGTAAATCATGTGATTAAATAAATTTAATGAATAGAGATATCGCGATACCATTTTTCTTGTATTTCATTTTTTTAATTTTTTTAGGGCCATTGTTCCTCTACGCTACTATATCAAATTTTATAATTGAATTGGGACATCTTGATAAAGTACGTTTCTTTTGAGCTGTGCATTTTCTATTCTATCTTCCGTGGCATCTCTTCCATAGCTTCTTTAATATTTTTTTTTGGAATATTTACTAGTCATACTTGTCTAACTTATCAACTACTTATCTTCGCTTATTTGTTAATGCCCTCTAAGTAATTCTCAGGCGAATAAAATTTCTTAAGGGCTA